CGAGAGGGGGCAATTGTGAGAGACGCAGCTCAGCGCCAGCTCGCCGTGGAAGTTGGGTGACAGTGGGGAAGGGGCCTGGCCCCTCTTCCGGGGTGCGAGCGGGGGTCGGGCAGCTCGGCAGCAGGTCGGACATCACGCTATCTCCTCGGTTTTGTTCTGTGGGTGAGTGAGCAGAGAGCTGGTGAGGAGAGGGTGAGGAGAGAAGGGAGAAACAGCTGGAGGAGGTGGTGGCTGGTGGAGGGCAGGGCTGGTCGCCTGCCCGTTCTGGGCTGCGCTTCGGAGGCAGCAGCGACTCGTGCACAGGGTGTAAAGGAGGGGTAGCTGCAGCATCCGGATTTTCTGTATTATTGAGGTAGAGCGGAGCAGAGGAGAGAAGTGGGTGCCGCAGACAGAGAGAGAGACCTGGCCCCTGCTCATTTCCAAGCAGAAGTGGGGAAGGAGACGCCGGGTGCTGGCGGGGGGCCTTTAGGAGGTTAAGGAGGGGAACGTGGGCTGTGTAGGTGAGCAGGACCGGGAAGGTGTCGCGGTGCCTGGTTCGGGAGCCGGAGCTGGGCACTGAGCTCTGCAGCTCGTTTTCTTCGGCAGCGCTGGAGCAGGTGAGTGGGATTTACCTCCGCACTGGGCCGTTGCCATCAGTGGGGCCTAAAAGAAGACTCGAATACGCTGTGATAGAGCTGCATTCTGCTCCAAGATGTGGTCTCTGTTACTGCTTGTAAATGAGGCGAGAAGTTGTTGTGGGTTTTAAGGTGTTGGATTATCTTTAATGGGTTTTGGGTTTTTTGTGAGGACAACTGACAACCTTCAGGTTTGTTTATAGCTGTGGGCTTCTTGTAAAACTGACCTGGACAAGTACGACTGCGGTGATTGCTACCAGGAGAAAAGCTGACTTGTGGTACACCGCAGGAGTCAGTAACTTGATATTTAGTCTGAGCCTATTCGTAAACTTGAGGCCTTTTAGGTAATTGCTTGGTTTTCTTAACATACGGCTCTTCAGAGACAACTTCCTCCTCAAGCACGTAGAACTGAAGTCCGACCTTCATCCTTTGGAGGTTTTGTGGGTGTTTGTCTTTCTGCTGTGCGGGACGTCCCAGTGAGCTGCTCGCTGCTGGTTTGGGTTCCAAGTCAGCTGCATGATCGTAAAGCAAACGCGCGGGAGCTCTGCGACTACGTAGCACCATTTATCATATTCTGGTTGTAGCCAGTACGGGGGGAAACGCACCGAGAAAGCTGGATCAATATGTTTAAATAGAGCTTATTGTCTGAGAGGTTTTCTTCTGCCATCTGTAGCTGTGAGACAAATGGAAATAGCTCTTTTGTGTAGCTGGAGTATTGTTGTGGATTTTAACGATTTACACAGGAGGCACATTGCAACGTACCTTACCAGTTTTTCTTCTGTGTCCGTCTTATCCCTGGATATAGCGTTTATCTGGTATTACTTAAGGTAATTAATGCTTTTTGACATCGAGAGTGATCTTAGGCAGGCATTATCCCTCTTCGAAGGCAGGGGAATGGAGGCACGCCGGCAGACTCGCTTCTCTTGGCTCAGACAGGCGAGAAGAACAATTCAGTGGCCGGGAGAGGAGCGTCTGACTCGGGAGGAGTAGGTTTGTCCTCTGCTCCTCGCACTTCCCCTGCGGCCAGCCCAACTTCTGCCTTCCTGCCTTATTTCCTTATCTGCGAAGTGGAGATAACTGCTCTGCCCTGCCTGCCGCGCTGGGAGGGTGTCGTGCCCTGAAGTTCGTTAGTGCAACGAGGCGAGTGCCCGGCTCCCGGAGCTGGGGTCCTGCTGCTCGTCCCTGGACTTGGCTGCGGCGGAGCTGGACGCTCTGCCCTTTGGAAAGCGCCGGTTCCTGCTGCTGGGAGCTGCCGCTCGGCGCTGCCTTGCCTGCGAGCGAGGCGGTAGGAGTTGGCGGCGTCGGGGGATT